TAGAATATGATAATAAACAAGAGAAAAGATAACGAAAAAACAGATATCATGAAATACAAATAACAAAAATATTATGGAACAACAGGGAACATAAAAATAGAAAGATAAAATAGCAGAGAGAACAAACAACATAAAATAGCATAATATGAGATAAAAAAAACATAATAAAAAGTATTGTATAAAAAAACATAATACATAGTAAATGTATGGATAATTAAAATTGCATATGATAAGGGGGTCAAAAAAATAATTGAGGAAAGGGAAGCTGATAGAGAACATTATTATGTTCTATTACTATATGCCACAAGAACATTATTGATTTACAAAGAGCTTATATGTCTTTAAAACAAACTCATGCTGATAACATTTATAAAAATATTGAAGAAAAATATGAACATATAAGGAACAAGAGAGAAATGTAGAGATGGGGAACCGGGGAGAATTCTCATTTATATAGATTTTTCATGTACATACAATCCTTTGTGTTAAGCCTCTATTCATACTTCATAGGCATCCTATCCTTCCAAGAGTTAAAATTTCATAAATAGAAGAATTAATCTACATTATGGTAGAACATAAAAGCAGTGGAAGTTATAGCAATAAGTATGATGAAATCATCCATTTAAGAGTTATATGATAAAATGTCATCAACCATGAGATGGAATCCTAACAAGCTAGGGAGTTATGAACATCCACACAACATAATATTTATAACAAAATGCAAATTCAGGCCTGCACTTTTAATAACTTTCTAATAAGGCCAAGAAACCTAATTAGAAATTTTTGAATGCTATCCAAACACTGGAATACCATCTATAACTAAAAAGGAAAAAATTGAAGGTATGTGTTGACTTGATTTTAATCTTTTTTTTTTATTTTAATTGGATTTAATTCAAGATTTAATTACAAATTTGTGGCAAATTTAAGTCTTCCTTTTCTCTACTTCTCTTTCCCCTCCACTTGATTATACGTATGATAATATATATAATTGCCAGGAATATCTGATTAATTTGAGTTACTTTTTTAATTGATTGCTAATTAATAATCAATGTTACCTCTTTAGAATTTCTAATTCTCAATATCTAAAATCATGCCGAGTCCTTTCAATATATATCTAAAGCCTAAGAGTACTAATTAATTTGGTTTCATTAAATAATGAAGAAATCATATTGGTTGGGCGTGGGGTGGAAGAAATTATTCATTATAATCATAAATATCAATATTAATATCCATCAATTTCAAATATTAAAAAAGGGGGCTCCTTTGTAACTCACGAGTGTTCCCATGGGTTTAACAAAATTTTCGGTGGGCACTAACTACAATATATTTGTAAACTTAGTGAAAGAGTGGCTCAATGCTAATCTGTTATGATCAGTAGTTATTAGGTTTTAGTTAACGGTTAATAATATGTTGTAGTTAGTCCCTTACATCAGAATTTAAATAAACTTGTAACAAAACTATAAACTTGTTGAAAAGACTAGGTACGGTAATCGCTAATCTGTTACGGTCAATAGCCATCAGAGTTCATGGGAAATGTGCTATATGGTCAGCCCCTGCTTACACTAGAAATTTGTTAAATTTGTAGCAAAATTGTAAACTTGTGAAAAGAGTGAAAATAATCCTTAATCTGTTATGGTCAATCAGGGCTGTTAATACAATCTTCTTAAGTACAAAATTTTTAAAATAGTATAAAAATAAATAATATATAATTCATTAAGATAAAATAAATTGTTGTAGCTTTCATGTTGATTTTTTTTTTTTGGCAAAACGTTGAATTCAACCTTTAATATAACTGCCTAATATTATATAAAAAATGCTTAATATATATTAACGCGGCGGGCAGTGTGACTGGGTGATCGTGTTGTTTTGTTCTTGATACAATTATTTATTTTTACATTATTTCTTAAATTTTTAATTGTATTAAGTAAGATAATTCAATCTAATCATAACAACTAAAATTATACTAGTCTCAAATAAAATAAAAATAAAAATAAAAAAGTACCGTTTTTTTTGCCAACAAATAAAAGTACAGTTGAACTTTATGGACTTGGAAACTCATTATTCAAATAAACCTCCTGTTAGAATAACATATGTGTTCTTCATAGTGGGCTTTCATATATTGAACTTAGGCCCACACACGTGTACCTTTGAACTCTTGTATACTTGCATCTGGATTATAAATATAAGGTCTGTCGGTCAATTCTAGTTGACCGGGTTATTCAATTTTGGGTTGTGCTCTCAGGTTCTCATGGTACCAGAGTGCGGGTTGGGTATCCTAGATTGCTAAAGTCTTGGTGGTGATTGAGCCCAAGAAGGGGTTTCAGCCAAAAGCGATCAGTGGTCCACTAATATGTCGTTTTGATGTGCATTCCAAAAGGCCAATGTTCTTGGTTCTTCTAGAGAGCACCATGCGCATCATTGTTAAAGTCCTAGCATCTTGCCATGCTGTGCAAAGACTCTGTTCTCTATTCCGTATCAAATTAGCGTGACACCCGGATTCTGACGTTCTTGGTTCTTGTCTTCAACGTGATCGTGATTGCAGGATTTAACTTCTCTGTTCACGCTTCCAAGAGCAACTTTGCTCCCTTTAGCTTACGGCAGACCGTGATTCTCTTGATTTCAGTCAGAGTGTAATTGTTTGTCACTGTAACTCTCAATTTCTCTACCATCGTGATTTTCTTCCTGCAAGATTTGTGGATTATCGCCTACCCGAGTCTGCGTCTTCAAGCTGTTTGAGGCACACACAAATCTCCTTGTATACGGTTTTATTTCCTTCAATCTTTTATTCTAGCAACCTCTCCCTGTTTTTTTTTTCTTCCTCACTTGCTTCATCTTCCCTTAGTAGTCAAAAGAAAAACATCCCTCTGATGGCCTCTTCGAAATCCATTATAGACATCAACCACCCTTTGTACGTTCACCCTTCCGACACTCAAGCTGTCACTTTGGTTCCTCAAATCTTGACTGGCTCCAATAACTACACTGTGTGGAGCTGTGGTATGCGACTTGCCCTTAGAGGAAAGAATAAATTGGGCTTTATAGACGGTAGTTATAGTCGGGATAAAGAGCCAGACTTAAAGGATCAATGGGACTGATGTGATGTTGTTGTGTTATCCTGGTTGATTAATTCGGTTGATAAAGAGATTGCAAATGGAATTGTCTTCGCAAACACATCATATTTGGTTTGGGCTGATCTGAAAGAGAGGTTCCAAAAATTAGATGGAACAAAAATCTATTCCCTGCATCGAACCATATCCACAATGACTCAAGGGACCCTTAGTGTAGCTGCTTATTTTACCAAGCTCGAGGACTATGGGATGAATATTCCCTCATCGTCCCGTTACCTACATGCAAATGTGATACAGCTCAAGAATATGTGAAGATTATGCAACAACAGAAACTGTTTCAGTTCCTCATGGGACTGAACGATTCCTATCAACAAGCTCGTTCTCACGTTCTCCTGACGTCCCCCTTGCCAAGTGTTAATCAAGCATATTCTATGATATCACATGATGAAGATCATCGTTCGCTTTCTTCCCAGATTCCTAATAATCCTCTGGACAATGCCGCGATGACCATAAGAGGAGGCCATCAAGGCAGAGGCAGAGGACGGGGTCGCTCACAAGAGGAATGTTCATATTGCCACAGAAAAGGACACAAATGAGAAAATTGCTACCAATTGAATGGTTTCCCAGCTAATTTCAAGGGCAAAAGGGAACCAGAAAGTCAAGTCAATCAGTTGGGGGATAAGCCTGTCCAAACCACACCTGTTCAGTCATCTCCAACCCTTACACAGCAACAATATGACAAAATCCTTGAGCTTTTACAAAAGGATTCAGTTGAAGTCGCTGTTGGAATTGCTGCACCCATTGAGGAACACATTTCAGGTTTGCTCAATGCTACTCCTCTCTCTATAAGTAAAAATAATTGGATTTTAGACTCAGGAGCTTCCTGTCATGTTGTTCAAAGCCTTACTATTCTTGATACTGTTAGTAGATATACTGGGCCTCTGAGAATGATTAAAATGCCTAATGGTGATAGGATCACCGTAACTCACGTAGGGACTGTACGGTTATTCGATAATGTGGTTCTGAATGATGTGTATTATGCCCCTCAATGCTGCTATAATGTCATTTCTATTTCTAGATTAACTAAACAACTGAGATGTATAGTTTCCTTTTACCCAGGCTTCTGCACTTTGCAGGAGATGTTGACTAGGATTTCCCATGTGATTGGTAAAATTTGTGATGGACTATACCTATTTAGGAAGGCCATAGAGTTGGATGGTATCATGAACATACAAGATAAGGATGCAAATCACAATAAAAGACAACTTTCTGATCTCTGGCATAGTAGATTTGGGCATGCTCCTTTAGATGTGCTTAAGTACTTGGAAGACATTAGGCATGATATTGTTTTCACTCCTAAGACTAGTTGCACTATATGTTCTCAAGCCAAGCAAACTCGTTTACCTTTTCCTTCTAGTGTATCAAGTACAAAATGTTGTTTTGAATTGCTTCATGTTGATACTTGGGGTCCTTATAAGGATCCAACTTATAAAAGGCATAGATACTTTCTTACTGTGGTTGATGATTTTTCCAAATGTACTTGGATTTTTCTGATGGTTAATAAAAATGAAAGTGTTCAGTGCTTGCAGAATTTTATTGCTTATGTACATAATCAATTCTCTACTACTGTTAAAAAGGTCAGAAGTGATAATGGGCTAGAATTCATTAACAACCAACTCAAAAACTATTTTAATGGTAAGGGAATTATTCATGAAAAATCCTGTCCCTACACACCACAACAGAATGGTGTTGTAGAACGCAAACACAGACATTTGTTGAATGTTGCAAGGAGTCTCATTATTCATTCAGGGGTTCCAGTTAAGTTTTGGGGGGAAAGTATTAAAACTGCTGCTTTCCTTATCAATAGGACTCCTTCCAAAGTTTTGGGGTACAAATCCCCTTATGAAGTCCTTCACTATAAACCACCAGATTTAAGTTTTCTTAAGGTTTTTGGATGTTTAGCCTTTGCCACTGTTCAAAATTCTACTGATAAACTTTTGCCCCGATCTGAGCCTTGTGTTTTTATGGGTTATCCTCCTAATCAAAAAGGTTTTCTGCTTTATAATTTACAAATGAAATGCCTCATGGTTAGTAGACATGTCACCTTCTTTGAAAATAAATTTCCTCTTCATGATTCCATTTCTATTGACCAACAGGGGGTGACTAGACATATGACTAGACATAATATAGATTCCTTTATTTTCGACAATCCTGACTTTCCAAGGTCTATTGAGTCTGAACCACACGGTCCAGAACCTGAACATATAGATGAAGGTTTGGATAATGATCATCCTGGAAATGAGACTATAATTGACGCTGAAGAATTCATGCATAGATCAGGAAGACCTGTTCGGGATAGGAAAGCCCCAACATGGTTAAATGATTATATATGCATGACTGACACAGCAATGGAAGAGTCAGGTAAAACAAGGTGTAGGTATCCTATACACAAGTACATGACTTATGCTAACATTTCTGATGATTATAAGCATTACTTGTTTTCTACTGATGCTGTTGTAGAGCCATGTAGCTTTCAAGAGGCTGCCCAGGACCCAAAATGGATGGATGCCATGAAAGAAGAGATGAAGGCACTAGAGCAGAACCAAACATGGAAAATTGTTGACTTACCCAGAGGCAAACATGCTATAGGGTGTAAGTGGGTCTTTAAGGTCAAGTATGACTCCAATGGTAAGGTGGATAGATACAAAGCCAGACTTGTGGCAAAAGGTTATAGTCAAAGGGAAGGGGTAGATTATTTTGAGACTTTTTCCCCAGTGGTTAAGATGGTTACTGTGAGAATTATTCTTACCCTTGCAGCAATGCATGATTGGCATCTATTCCAAATGGATGTCAATAATGCATTCTTGCAAGGTGATCTGCATGAGGAGGTTTATATGAAAGTCCCACAGGGATTTGATCATTTCGGAAACAATAAGGTTTGTAAACTCAACAAATCCCTGTATAGACTTAAACAGGCCTCACGTTAATGAAATGCAAAGCTTACAGCCACCTTAATCCAAGGGGGTTTAGGCAAAGTCAATATGATTACTCCTTGTTTATAAAACAAAATGAAAATGAAATAACACTAGTCTTAGCTTATGTGGATGACTTGGTTATTACCGGAAACAATATGCATAGGATTAATGAAATAAAATCTCATTTGCACCACAATTTTAAGATAAAGGATTTGGGACAACTTAAGTACTTCCTTGGTTTGGAATTAGCAAGGTCTAAGAAAGGAATAGTCCTTAGCCAAAGAAAATACACCCTGGAACTAATTTCTGATATGGGTTTAAGTGGTTCAAAGCCCTTGAGAGTCCCCATGGAGAGAAGTACTAGGTTGAGTATTGAGGGTACAACCCAACGCAAAAGAAGAAAATCCAAAAGGCAAAAAGGAAAGGAACTTAGACAGCAAGACCCTTTGATGCAAGATCCTGCCATGTATAGAAGGCTCATTGGTAGGTTATGTTATCTCACAATTACAAGGCCTGACATTAGTTTTGTTGTGCAGGCTTTGAGTCAGTACATGAGTGCTCCAAGGAAATCTCACATGGCAGCAGCAGTACGTGTAGTGAGATACCTGAAAGGGAGTCCAAGACTGGGCATTTTCTTGCAGGCTAAAGCATCAAGTCATTTGGAATGTTATGCAGATTCAAATTGGGCTGCCTGTCAAGACACAAGGAAATCAGTAACAGGATACCTGATAAAGTTTGGGGGCTCCTTAGTTTGCTGGAAGTCAAAGAAGCAGCGCATTGTCTCCAAATCATCTGTAGAGGCAGAATACAGAGCGTTAAGTGTAGCAACTTCAGAACTAGTTTGGCTAACTAGGATGCTCAAAGATCTTAATGTGAGGAATTCAGAACCGGCTAAGATGTTTTGTGACAACAAGGCAGCTATATACATTGCTAGTAATCCAGTGTTTCATGAAAGGACGAAACACATTGAAATAGATTGTCATTTCATCCGAGAAAAGCTACAGCAAGGTGTAATAGAATTACATCATGTATGCTCTAGAGAGCAGCTCGCTGATTTGCTTACGAAACCTCTTAGCAGTGAGGATTATGATAGATTGTTAAACAAGTTGGGGTACCATAAATATGTATGGCTCCCAACTTGAAGGGGGGTGTTAGAATAACACATGTTGATAATGCTTTTTGTCGTCAAAGCACTCAATTAAACTAAATCCTAATTAATTTGTAGTTTAGGATCGACCTAGGTCATTACTTCCAAGGAGCAAGTTGTGGGTTTCTTTAGGTGAAAATTTAGGTGATAAAAAAAAGCAATAAATTGGACCTAAACTAAAATGCAAAATTCTAATCCTAAATGCAAGATGCAGATGTCCTAAAATCTATATGAAAATTAAATTAAACTAAATAAATGCAATGCAATTTTTGGGGGTTTTTTTTGAAGAAAAATAAAAATAATTAATAAAGAAAATTAATCAGAAAGCAAAGAGAATTAACAAGTAAAAATGGAGAAGTTCTCTTCAGGTACGGTAGAGGGGACAACTTAGGATTTGCATGGATTTAACCTTCATAACCTTAATCAGTTAATTAGACCAAAGGGAAGTGATAAGAGAGTGGAATTAATAAACTTAATCACCTATTTGAAACAAAGGGAACCCTTAATCTCAAAAACTCTTAAACCATTAGAGAACTCATAACAGTATAAGGTTGGTCAATTAAGCTTATTAAAACCAATGAAGATGTCTCAAATTAATTCTGGAAATTATGTTTGAAATTATCTAATTAAACAATTAGACAATTAACCAACTTAATTAAACAATCAAGAGGCAAAAGAACCCAAATTTTGCAATTCAAACCACATTGATAATTAACTCATAATGAAAACTCAATTATAAATTTAATTAGCAATGCAAAGGTTCTAAACATAAATTCCAACAAGTGTCTCAACACAAATAAAATCCAAATATCAATTCAATCCAAGAATAAAATTGACAATCTAGAACTAAATTGTCTCAACAAAAATACAACTTAAAATCATTTAAAACTAAACAATTTCAAGTCCTTGAATTAAAAAGATAAATGGAACATCACTCCCTTGTGGTCTTCAAGTGCTAGCCCAAGGCTCTAGTCTTTTTCATGCTCCTCCCAAGTTGCCTCCCAAAGAAGCTTAAGCTTCCATCAAAACAATCTTCCCTCCAAGCTTGTTGACGCGGAGCACGGCCATGTGACGCATGAAGTTAGTGACTATGGAATGGAATTGGTTGAATGGATGACTAGATGGCTTTCTTCTACGTGGAGTAAGATAGGAGAGGATGTGAATTGATGACTGAAGCGTGATGTCCAGCGGCTGAATGGAGAAGGAGAAAAGTCTCGTGTTCAATTGTGCGTCAATGAATGGAGATGGAAGTGTCTTGCTCTTCGGCGTGAATTCTCCTCAAAAAATAAGGAAAATATTTTGATGGGGGAAAAGGAAATTTTTATGCATCTAAAGCTCAAGCCCATTAGTAATTAATTGGCCCACTTGATATTAGCCATTGGATTGTGCTTAAATCCCAAGAAACAATCTTGCACCATTGGATCTCCTATATGCTCTTTCTTAACCTACAAGATTTTAAGTGCATCCATTAATATAGATTATGTCCAAAATAAAATATTAAATATGCACAAAAATTAGGCAAGAATTTGCAAAACTTTCTAAAAATAATCTTTCTAAAAATATGAGACTTGTTTTCAAAGAAATGGGAAAAATTAATTCCAAGTCAAAAATAGGAAAGCACAAAATATCTATATTTTTAATCCAAAATATCAATTTTTATGCAAAATCCAAAAATCAACCAATTTATCCAATAATGCATAAAAAATCTAATTAAGCTCAAAATTATCATTTAAATTCTAATTTAATGTGAGATAAAATGTATAAAAATTGGGCTTTATCACATGTGTTCTTCATAGTGGGCTTTCATATATTGAACTTAGGCCCACACACGTGTACCTTTGAACTCTTGTATACTTGCATCTGGATTATAAATATAAGGTCTGTCGCTCAATTCTAGTTGACCGGGTTATTCAATTCTGGGTTGTGCTCTCAGGTTCTCACCTCCAAAGGAAGAATTTTATTAATTAAAAGATAATGAAAAAATTAATTAGCGTTGGTTATTAATTTGATTTAATTGATTAATATTAGTTCTCACTTTAAAATTCAAATTAGTTTGAATTAATTTGAGTAAATCTTAATTATTTTGTTAAATAATGGGCACATTAGAGGATATGATAGAAGAAGATATGGGGAGTTTGGTTAAGGATAATTTAATAGCTTTAATTTTTTATTTTCATAATTGATCCTTCCAAATAATTTCAATTTTTAAGATTCTTTCCTATAAATATTATTCTCACAAGATTTTCATTCTAATTCTCCCAAAAAAAAAAGTAAAATCAATTAGATAGCACTTGAGTAATCTAACACTACTTAATTCATTAAAACAAAAATAAGAATATCACCTATTATCCTTAATAGTTAATATAAAATTTAGTTAACTAATTTGAAAAGATCAGAAAAACTAAATAAATGATGTAAAAAAAACTAAATGAATTACTTAATTACAGAATATGTTACATTATCTCTTTAAAATATTTATATGCATTATTTGATTATATATCAATTTATAAGTTAAGTAAATTAATTAGAAAAAAATAATAACTATAAATACTGTAAAATAATTTATTTAACTTATTTAATATCCTTAAATTAGTCAATTGAGCATTATATTATGGACAAGAGATAATATTAAAAGCATTCATATGGCCTTTAAAATCCTAATACGTTATCTGGTTCATTTATAAATAACTCCATCCGGTAGTGTTTCTTTTGAAAACGCTGCCTCATTAATTTCAAAAATAACTAAGCGGTACAGCACTTATTAAATAAAGAGCTACCATACATACTTCTCTGATTCTAAATATAAGACTTATTTTTAGTATAATTTATACTACAAAATGGGTCTTATATTCAGGACAAGAATGAGTATTAAAATATAAAAAAATGTAGCATTTTCTTTACAAAATGTTAGACGTATGCTACTAAAGGCATTTTTTTTTTAAAAAAAATAATGATTAACCAATGTCAATATTAAATATTTAAAACATTTATTAGACCATATGGCTTATTTATTGAATGAACAGGGCATGATACTCTCTACAATTGTACAAAATCCTATGTAAATAATATAATAAATTTATAATAAGATGCACTATTAAACATCAACACTAGAAAAACATTTTTTTTTTAATCGAGCTTAGAGTACCCACCGTCACTCCGTCAGTAGCAGACTAACAGTGACTAATCCCTTCACACCATAAACATCCCTTTCCTAAAGTGAATTTAGTTCTAGCCACGAGACTCTCTCCATACATACCATCAAAGATCAAACTCCTGACTAAATGCTTAAGAAACCTAATTAAGTGCCATTTGTGCTAAGGCTCGTGGTTCCAGAAAAACATTTATTATAAGAAACACAACCCGTACAAAAAGATAAACTAAAGCCAACGTCGACTGAGTGAATAACTGACCACAACC